ATGAAAAATAATTTTCACATGCGTGAAACTTTTTTGTATGCTTGCAAAGCACAGCCTGCTGGGATGTTTCTATGTATCTACTGGCACCAGAAGGGCTCTTTAGGACTAAGTACATACAGTACATGTGTGCACAGTATGAGCAGGTGAAATGTCTGTCTAGCTTACATATGAGGTGTCTCAAGATTTAGGAACATACAATTTTATTGAATATAATAACAGTAAAAAGTCACTTGACATGCTGCTGTTTTGTGCTATGACCTATTTAAGTAGGCTACTGGAAGTTGTTATTTATGTGACAACGCCTGAACGCAACACAAGCTCAGCATGAGTGCCGTGCTACGCTGCGAGCAGCGTGTTTGTGCGTAACAGCAGTCTGTTGGTTATTTACACACTGTCCATAACAATAACTTCTTTAGCTGACAAACTGCACCGGGCTCGGGGTCAGGTTTGGTCAGGAAAATGCGGCCCGAGCCGCTCTAGCGTGCTCACCTGTGTGTGTCTGGTGGAACTCCGCCATGTGCCATACAGAGAGCAGAGGAGAATTGTTAACGCGTGACCATGTAGAGAGACACCATAAATAGTATATTGTTATGTTATCATATGAAGCGTCCGTCGCGCAAAATAGTATCAATGGGGGCTGTGGGCAGGACATTGCTGACTCGTTCTCTGAACTATCATTGTTGGAAGTTTGGGAAACTGGCACAGGACCGACAGGAGTTTCTGGGTATTTTTTTCTTGTGAAAAACGAATCTATAGTTCGTTTCATAGCGTCACTTTATGGTTAAACGACATAGCACTTTCTACTCGACACCGGCTCTGTGACCCCCCTCTGTCTAACCCCGTGTACAGTAGGTTACACAGTGGGTACTAAAACTGCTGCACGTTGCTATGGTTACTGGCGCCCCCCCGCCTCGCAGTGCGCATCCAGACACACATAACAGGCACACCCACACACACAGAGACACTTGCTTCCGCTCCATGAAATGCAATTATAAAAAAAAAAAAAAAAGAAAGAAAGAAAGAAAGAAAAAGGGGAGAGGGGTGGATTTGTAAGTTGTGCTGGTGCTCCTAGTTAAAAAAACTATGTCGCATGGCCTCCAAAAAAGGTCACAAAATGTGACCAATTAGGCGCAGTCTGGAGCCCTGACCTGTGAGTCAGAGAAGAAGAATCAGCCAGTTAGAGACGAGAAGGAAGCAGCTCACCTGTACAGATGTGACATCAGTGTTTACACGTGTGATCGATAAAAACTCGATCTATTAATCCAGGTGTGTGTATTGATGATTGATTATTGATCCAGGAGTGTGTGTATTGATGATTGATTATTGATCCAGGTGTGTGTATTGATGATTGATTATTGATCCAGGTGTGTGTATTAATGATTGATTATTGATCCAGGTGTGTGTATTGATGATTGATGATTGATCCAGGTGTGTGTATTGATGATTGATCCAGGTGTGTGTATTGATGATTGATGATTGATCCAGGTGTGTGTATTGATGATTGATGATTGATTATTGATCCAGGTGTGTGTATTGATGATTGATGATTGATCCAGGTGTGTGTATTGATGATTGATTATTGATCCAGGTGTGTATTGATGACTGATCAAGATGTTCCCAGAGTCTCAGTGACGATCTAGTCTATATCTGGTCTGACTCTGTGTTGCAGTCTGGTCCTGGTGAACTTCAGGGAGGAGGGCAGTGCATCGGTGCAGGTGGTGATGGGTCACGCCGTGGAGGAGGTGGAGGTCCTGCAGGAGGCCGATGAGGAGACCACAGAGCGTCTCTGCATCTCCTTCCTTCCCTTGAAGACCCCCAGGCTGGACCCAGAGGAGCTAAGGAGGAGGAGGGGGGGCGTCCGGAGGTGGCTGGAGAAGAACTGGATCCCGGTAGTGGAGGAGGGGGAGGAGCTTAGGGTGGCGGGGGTCCTCACCATCACGGCCCCCTACGGACCTGAAAACTGCTGCAGCTCCAACCAGATCATCCTGGACCGCATCCAGAAACTGATCCAGACTGAACCCCGACTGGAGCACAGCAGCAGCTGTGACTGACAGCTGGTCTGAGATCAGCTGCTGCAGTCCAATAACAATCACTGTGTGTGAAAGCTCCGCCCCTTTGCCTGCTGATGTCATCAGTCTGACGAGGATGAGAAACAAGTTCAACTATTGAATCAATAACTGTTTAATATTTAAGCCTGATCAGATCTGTCTCAGATCTTCATCAATCGATCAATAAATTATTGACTCACTGATTTTCTGAGTGTTGTGTTGTATGTCTCCGTCGGACATTGTTACAGGGTTTCCCTGGGTTTTTTCGAGACCAAAGTGGCAAAGGCCTGTGGCGGGGGGCATCTTGATAGCTGTACTTTTAGATACATTTCAGTAATCAAAAGAAAAATGACTAATGTACTGATCTGCCTCTGGAGAACCAGTGTTTCCCCTATAGGCAACTAAACTACAACTGAGACTGAAATATGACCACCCTGCTGTTTTTTTTTCTCCTTCTTAACAGGTCTATAACTTAACTGACTAAAGAGCCTTATGTTATTTATCTTATGTCATTTCTGTCTCTACATGGTCGCACCTTTACAGTTCTCCTCTGCTCTCTGGCGCTCCAGCCAGTGCGCTACAGAGTGATGTTTGTTTACTGGAGGTATTTTATATCTGGCTGATTTTTGGAGACTATGGCGGGGCAAATTAGACTATGGCGGGCTGCCATAGTCTCGTCAATGTATGGGAAACACTGGAGGCCCCTACATGCTTGAGCTTTACACTGCTGACTTGTATAATCAGAACAGACATGTCCTGTGATTTTCAGCCTTCTATGATTATATTTACTCTTTACAGCAGGCACATCCTGACAGCTGAGAATGTTACTATCAGGTATTGTCCCCCCTCTATTAAATATGAAAGGAGGCTGAAAATCACAGGTGTCACATGTCTGTTCTGATGATTCAAGTCAGCGGTCCTGAAATGTGTGTTTCTCTTCTATAATACACATTCTACATCTCGGAGGTGCCATCTTTCCACATATGGGCTTCCTTCGCCTTTCAAACGGGGCAGAGCTCCATGGGAAACAGTAGGAGAGACACAGCCTGAAGGGGCACAGGGACCTGACACAACACCGGAGAGAGAAGCAGGTCCGTGGAGCTGTGCGCCGGATGAAAAAAGGTGGGGGCGTGGTGGAGGTGGCTCAGGCTCAGAGGTAGAGCAAGTCGTCCCAGGCGGCAAGAGGGTCAGATTCTGAACTGCTCCTGATAGCTGATCATTGCTGAGAGTGTTTAAATGCTGACTGAGGATCAGGGGTCGTATTCACAAAGCGTTCTCGTACACAGTTTCTCCTGGTGACCAAGTCCTAAATATTCTTAGAATTTCCCCTTAAAGTTAAGACTTAAAGTTCAGACGTAAAGTTCAGACTTAAAGACCTAAAGTTAAGACCTTAAGACGTAAAGTTAAGACCTAAAGATAAGACTCAAAGTTAAGACTCAAAGTTAAAACTTAAAGATAAGACGTAAAGCTCAGACTTAAAGTTAAGACGTAAAGTTCAGATTTAAAGTGAAGACCTAAAGTTAAGACGTAAAGTTAAGACCTTAAGTTAAGACCTAAAGTTAAGACGTAAAGTCAAGATGTAAAGTTCACACCTAAAGACTCAAAATTAAAACTTAAAGTTAAGACGTATTGTCAAGACCTAAAGTTAAGACATAAAGTCAAGACTTAAAGTTAAGACCTAAAGTTAAGACTCAAAGTTAAGGGGCGTCGGTAGCGTAGTGGATAGTGCCGGCGCCCCATCTACAGAGGCACTGCCTCACTGCAGCAGTCGCAGGTTCAAGTCTGGCCTGCGACCCTTTGCTGCATGCCAGTCCCTGCTCTCTCTCTCTCTGTCTCCCCATTCCACACACTGTCCTATTCATTTAAGGCAAAGGCCCACAAAAATAATCGTAAAAAAAAAAAAAAGATGTAAAGTTTAGACCTAAAGTTAAGATGTAAAGTTCAGACCTAAAGTTAAGACTCATAGTTAAAACTTAAAGTTAAGATGTCTCAGAATGTCTCTATGTTGAAGGATTCTCTTGTACCCCAGAATGATTTTGTGATCTGCAAAGATCAGGTTACAGCTTTGTTGAAGAAAAGCAACATAAGGAAGGCTGCTGGCTCTGATGCTGTCTGTGGGCGCACACTGAGGTACTGTGCCAACCAGCTCAGTGGAGTTTTTTCTACACTCTTTCAGATGTGTGCCAGTCACTGTCAGCTTCCTTCAGTCTGGAAGAGATCTATAATCCCCAAAACAAAAAATCCTGGGAAACTGACTGAGTTTAGGCCTGTTGCTCTCACATCACTTATTATGAAAATCTTTGAGAAAATCCTTAAGGATGAGATTGTCTGTTTAGTGTGTGACAAACTAGACCCCTTACAGTTTGCATATCAAGCTGGAAAGGGGGTAGCGGATGCTAGACTCCTCATTCAAAATTTATAAGCACTTGGAGAAGCCAAAATCACATGCCAGACTTTTATTTGCTGATTTCTCTTCAGCTTTTAACAAGGTGCAACCGCATATTTTAGCTCAGCAGCTTTCCTCTTAATTTAATTTACCTGATCAGTTTTTATTGTTGCTTTTAAACTTTTTAACTGATAGGAAGCAGCAAGTTTAGGGTTAATGGAGTTTTGTCAGATGTTTTGGTCTCAAACAGGCTCCCCACAGAGTTGTGTTTTATCTCCCCTTCTTTTCATTCTGTTCATTCATTCAGCTGCAGGTCTAGCAAAGAGGGCAGCTACTTGGTAAATTCTCAGACGATATAACACTTCTGACTCTCCTTCAAGGGTCAGAGTTGGACCATGGTAGCGCCCTGCCAGATTTTGTTAACTGGTGTGATGAAAACTTCCTTGACCTTAATGTGGAGAAAAACAAAGGAGCTTGTCAATAGGTTCGTTCGAGATGAGCCAGGCCGGTGCAGATTCGATCACCGGCGATCGGCACACAATGCATGCCGGTTAGTTTTGTGTCTGACTTCATCCCGACTTGCTCTGACGTATTACAAAAGTGGACGGCAATAAAACCGCGAGAGCGAGGCGGCCGCAGTTTTTAGAGCCAGGTGCTGCAGCTGCTCTCCACCAACTGCACCACCTGGCTCTCACCTGATCTAACAGCTGATTGGTTCAGATGTCGACTCAACAAGATGACTTTAGATAAACTTTTCATTGTTGTTGAATTTTATATTTGTCTGATTTGAAGGTTTATTCTGTAACAGAAACATGTTGAGTGACTGATGGTCAACGATAAGTCTACTGTGTATTAACAGTGGACTCTTTTAATTATTGAAGTATTTAGCAACACACAGACTGGTGGTCAGTGGGATGTGAGGACTCTTAAACTAACGTGTGTACAGATGTGAAGCTCTGACTGTATCTGACTGAGCCTTAATGAAAGCTGTTGTCTTGTATTTTTTTTTCCTGAAAATATGAACCTTATATTCAAACACAGTGTATTTAGCCTGTGTAGTTGAGGGGACAGGTCAAACTGATATGATGCTGATTTACAGGAGAGTTCATGTCAAATGGAGGATAAACCATGAACATAAACTACAGATCAGGGGCGGATCTAGAAAAATATTTGTGGGGTGGCAAGAGGGGGGCAGGAATTTTTGAGGGGTGGCAACATATGGCAGACGAATATATACTGAATTTAATCACAGTTATCAGAGTTTGATGAGAAAAACTATGTTCACACTACATAAGGGCACGGGCTGCCATTTATAAACTCATACAGACAAACTTAATCTCATGCAATCAATGTCATGCATTTGAGGTTTCATGTGAAACAGTTCATATTAGGAATAAGTGTTGAAGGAGGTTCAACAAACTCTGAGTCTAACCCTGAACTCTGAGTTGATTTACTCTGAGATGGGAAACTCTGAGTTACCGGTTCCAGAACAGCTGATCTGAGTTAGTTCAGTCAGCTCTGAGTATGTTCACTCTGAGTTAAGCCGACAATAAAAAGCCATCATCAATGGAGCTCCGACTCCACGATTCACCATGGCAACAGGTAAATAAAAGACAGCGCCTCCATTTGATTCCAGTGGATGTAGAGATATTAATGCATGTGTAGCAGACGGTGCACGTTTATCTTTAAAAGAAGAGCCTGAGTCAGAGCGAGGAAAGTGTCAATAAGTTAACCATAAAGTTAATAAAAAAGTTTACTCATCATTTATCAGACTTACATTTCCTTAATGAAGATAAAGTGGTGGAATCTGACTGTGTATCAGGCTGTAGATACATTACATTATATTAATAATATACAATAATATATTTGTTCAGATTTAATCTGATGGGGAAAAACACAGGAGGCAGAAGATTTAAAACATATAGGCTAGGCTATAGATCAAAGACATAAAGACATGACTGTAAACTCACAGTCTGACCCAGTAATAATATGTTTGGTGATTTGCACTTGAAAAGACGTTGAGGTTAAAATACAGTAGATTTTAAAATGTTGCACATCTATTTGTATCTTGACTCAACAGCATTCAGTGACTTTATTTCAGCTACAAATGTAGTAAATGTAAAGACAGTGAAATGCTGCACCATTGCTCACTCAGAAATATGAACATATAATCCCCAATATTAGGCTATAGGAATTATGTTCCATCAGTGCGACCAATGACATCAGTGACAGAGATCATTAGTCATTGATACTACGTGTCTAAAGCTTCATACCCATTTTTAAAATGTAAATAATTAGACCTACACATTATGTGCAATAAACATTTGGGAGCTGCTCTGACAGACTGACAGTCTGATCCTTGTGCACAGTGTTATAAAAATAATAAATATAAAAAGGACAGAGGTTTGATTCTGAGCTGAGGGTGAATTCTCGCTGTGTGTTATTTGAATGTAAAGACAAAACTGATGTCCAAAGAAATGACTGATGTGCATAAATTCAATAACTTCAGACAGTCCTGAGTAACAAACTAATATCCAGCAGGATTTAGACTGTGACAGACGGTAAATCTCCGCTAATTAATGCGCTTCGATACAAGCTTTGACACGGACTGAATGAATGAGGAAATGAAACAGCGTGTAAGAGGCAGGAGACAGAGAAAAACCTAACCTGCTCACAGACTCAGTTGCCATGGTGATTGACTCAGAGTTTGATTTACCTATCTTTCTGGAACTGAAAACCCAGAGTTTCCCTCATTTCAGGGTTAACATACTCAGAGTTTTCACTAAACCCGCTTTCTGGAATAGGCTACCCCTCTGGC